ATGCCCGGATAATTTTTTTTTCTATTTTTAGTCACTTGGCTAATTTTTTCTATTTTTAGTAGAGATGGGGTCTTGCTCTCGCTCAAGCTGATCTCAAACTCCTGACCTCAAGCGATCCTCCCACCTTGGCTTCCCAGAGTGCTAGGAGTACAGGCGTGAGCCACTGCACTCCATTTGAACTTTTTTTTTCAGAGACTCCCGAGTCTCCGGCATGTGCCCCACTTCCCCTATTTCTCAGGTCAGGCTGCGGTGTGGCATGAGCCTTGACTCATCTAACAGTTATTGAAATCATCTGATGTTATTTCGGCCAATGGTGCTTAGAAGTTCATGGCCTCCCTCTGACATTCAACACTGAGTTCACTAATAAACTGATAACAGCCTTCTTGCCTGTGGAGTTGCTCTTGCTGCCATCTTGGTTGAGTTTCACAAAGACGCTGATGTTTACAGTAGGCAGAATAATATCCCACACCATCAAATGTCCACATCCTAATCCCCAGAACCTGCGAATGGCAAATGGACTTAGCAGACTTGATTAAATTAAAAATTTTTAAGATGGGGATATTATCCTGCTTTAGCCACATGGAGCCAGTGTAATCACAAAGGTTCTTATAGAGTGAAAGAGGGAAGCCAGAGAGTAAGAGAAGATGTGACAATGGAAGCAGAGGTCACAATGATGTGACTGCTGTGTTTGAAGATAGAAGAAGGCCACAGACCAGCTCTAGAAGGTGGAAAAGCAAGGAAATGAATACTCCCCTGGCACCTCCTGAAGGAAGGCGACCTTGCCAACACTTTTATTTTTAGCCCACTAGGACCCATTTCACATACCTAATCTCCAGAACTGTAAGATAATAAATTTGTGTTATTTTAAGCCACCAAGTTTGTGGTAATTTGTTACAGCAGCATTAAGAAATAGTCTTCGGCTGGGTGCGGTGCAGTGGCTCACATCTGTAATCCCAGCACTTTGGGAGGCTGAGGTGGGAGGATCAGTTGAGGCCAGGAGTTCAAGGCTGCAGTGAGATATGATCATACCACTGCCCTCCAGCCTGGGCAACCGAGTGAGACTCTGTCTCTAAAAACAAAACATAAACAAGAAAATAGCCTGGAGAGGAAGGGTATGGAGGAGAGGCAAAAAAAAAGGGAAGAAACAAACAGTCTTGTTATATGCTTCGTTTTCCTCTTAACCTATACTAGATCTAGATTGATTCATACTGAAATATCCTGGTTTCCATACTTTCTTTATACATGTTAATAGAAGAATTCAGCCTTCAATTGTTGGTGCTTTTTTTTGGGTGCTGCCCAAAGGGAGCAACAGGAAAGAGCTGAATTATTCAAATTGGGTTGCCTCTGAAGCCCAGGTACTGCTGTTCCTCTCTTGCCACTTCTCCACAGTAAAGGACATTCTCCAGTGTTTTTGTCAGATTATTGCCGTATCCATAACCGAGTGATCCTTCCGAGGATATGCGGCAGTGTGGTGTGGTGTGGTGGGTGGGGAAGAGCTGATACTCTCTCCTCAGCCAGAAAGGCAGAGACTTGGGGTGGGTGAGAGGGATGGGGTGGTGTGGGGGTTGTCATATTTTTTAAGAGGCAGTTTCTCCTTTCTAAATCCATTTAAATCTCTGGGGAGTAGAGGATCCAGGAGCCTGGCTGTGGTTTTGGGTGATCCAGCTAGAAAGAAAGGCTTTGGAGGAGAGGTAAGTTCCAGTGCTTTGTTTTGGTCAGTTCTACAGTCACCTACTGGCAAAGAAGCCCTTTCATGGAAAGAATTTACTCCACAGTTGCGAAATAGCTTCACTTCACATGGTTTCTTGAAACAAATTTGAGGAACCACAGACTCTTGCATCATTTTTTTAGCTGATACATAATAACTATACATAGTTATAGGGTATATGTGATATTTTTTTCTCTTTTTCCCCCATGCATTCCAAGTTCATCTTAAATGGGTAATGTGATACTTTGATACATGCATACCATGTGTAATGATCTTGCATCATTTTGATTAGCAATCAGTTCTCAGAATCCAGCCATGGCAGAAGAGACAGCTAAACATCTTTTGCTTTATCTCCTATACATAAATTTGAGTAGAGATTCTTTTGTTGTAAAACCTAATCTTCATCTAAATTCAGGTTAATTATTTAATTACAGGCTGTTTGTGTAAAAGAAATTAAAATTTCAGGATCCTCTAAATTTATTATGCCAAGGGAGCAGTTAAGCCCCGGAGACTGAGTTACAAACATGTTTGCAACTTCTGCTCCTTAAATTATAGATTAACTCTCCTCTTCATTGTTCTTGTTCTGTAAATAACTAGGAAAGACCAGACCTCCTTCCCTTCTAATCACTGATCTTTGCTGTAGATTAACTGCCTCCTTTATTGCCCTGTACCTAACCCAGGTCAGATGGCTCAAAAGACCACATGACTGTTACATCTCCAGTGTGGAATGTTAACTATACCTTTCAAGAAAGAAAAAGGCTACCTCAGCTAATCAGATCATTGTAACTATGCATTAAGCCTTATAGATAAAAATGCTGAAATTCTGTTGAGCTTCCCTAAACTTTGTTTATATTAAGCATCCCAAACTTATACATTTCAGAATACTGTCTTCTATTCTTTGGAATCTGTGCTGAGTGGCCATCCTCAAGCTTTGCACTTGAATAAATTCTCTTTAAACTAGATTCTGACCCTTTCATTTTTAGGTTGACAATTGTAAACAGCGTATTCTGATTAATAAACTTGTTTTTCTGGTATGTAGTTGTATAAATTGTTCAGCTTTAGTGCCATGTTTAGTTTCGAAATGTAAACTTAATACATTTTACATATGATAACTGCTTAGAAAATATTTCTTTTTACAGTTACCTGCCGCTATAATTACGGTAGTTTTCTATTTATGTAAGG